AAGAGAAGCGACTTGCAGTGATACCTTTCTCTTTGTCAAATGGGCGACTAGTGTTAAGACTCAAGTATGTCTGCCTCCGCTGCCAAGTCTGAGAGCTGTAGGAATGACAGAGAGAACAAGACGCTCTGTGGCTACATTCACATGGCAGTTTATTCTGATTTCCTGTCGTTTCTCTAACTTAATTTCCACAGTATAGTTGAACTTTTACACAGTGTAAAAGCTGCTTCCAGAAATATAACAGAATATTGTGCAAGTTGTTGTTGTTGCTGTTGTTGTGGTGGTGGTGTGTGCTGTGTCTTTCTGCAGTGCTGCTGTAAAATATGTATTGGCCCAAATGTAAAATCGCATTATCTTTTTGCATTCTCTGATGTATTAATAACACTCACATCTGACAAAGCAAAGTACTGTAACAGCCATGCATACTGTATGTGCTTTGATGTGAAATTGCTCTAAAACTGATGGGTGGTCTTTTGAAACTTGACATGACTGCTTACCTTTTTATAGTTGTGTTATTGAATAATTACGCTATTTGCTGGCAACATGCTATAGTTAATAAAAGTTAATTTGAATTATTTTTTTTATAGCTACTGGCTTGTCTGCACTGGCAACTTGCCTCTGGCTTACTGCTGGAGCTATCGCTCATATCATGTTTTACTACTGATCTTTTGTAAGCCATTCTGTGAGCATTTTTGGTTACAGAGCAGGGTAGAAATCCTTCACATAAATAAATGATTATCACTGTGGGGTTTGCACTTCGTGAGCAGTAGTTTGGTCATAATTTGATCAGTTTACTAGTGCATCTTTTGAGATTAGAAATACTGTCCAATTACATCATTCAGCATTTATTATTGGGCTGTGCCTTGGCAGAACTCGCCCTAGGCTTTCAGGTGAGTGCACCATGTTTCTAGACTATGACATCACATCGCATCACATCCTGGCTGTGACATCTTAGCACATCAAACCCGACAAGCCACACTTCTGTTGTGATTCATCCCCTTGGACCTGGGGTATGGAAGCTGGTTAAAATATTTTTATTTTTATTTACTTTGCTCCTTTGCCTTTTACTTTGACATGTTTCATCTCTATAACTCCAACCATGCTTCTGGTGCTTTAGGAAAGCTAGGAATGTGCTGTTGCCTCCACCCTGTTAGACTTACACAGGTATTGGGGGGGGGGGACTTCCATCTGATTTGAGATTTTTCTATATGCAGATATTTGATTATTATTTAGATTAACATTTTAATTTCATGTACTTTAAAAAATTATTTACTGGATTGGGAATTCTTGGTTTACTTGAACAGAGTCTTTTTTGTGTGAAGCATTTTGCTTTGATTACTCACTGTCGCGATTCCTCGCGGCGCTTTTAGCAGAAACGCTCAGAGTCCCAGGGTTTTCCAGTGCAGTCTTTTTAATGTGAGCTATATACAGGTATTTACAAAAACAGTCCATACAGAGTACCTGCTCCTTAAGGCAAACGAATACTCTCCACCACAGCACAACCACCACAACCACAGTTACTGTTGAACAGGCTTTCCTTTTTAAAACAGGTGATAGCCAATCACATTAATCACACTCCTGCTGAGTCACTCTGACCCAGCACTTCACAGAGTATTGCATCATCCTGTTGAAGCCTGCAGACTTACTCAATATCAAGCGAATCCCAACACTCCTCCTTAAGTCAAAGGCTTGAGACCTAATAATTCTCTTAAGTCTCGAAATTTAGGAGCATCCAAACATTTTGTATACAAATCCGCCACATTACATTTTGTGTTACAGTGCTGTACCTTTAACACATTTCTTTCCAAAGCATTTTTCACATTTCCGTATCTTATCGCAATATGTTTACTCTTGCTCTTAAAGTTCTGTTGGTTAGCAAGCTGTTGTGCAGCCATGTTGTCACTTAGCACAGTGATTGGCATTTCAGAAGGTATTCCAAGCTCTTTTGTTAGGCAAGCAAACCACTCTATTTGTGACACACATTCGCTTATGGCTGAGTACTCTGCTTCACAAGTACTTGTGGCAACAAATGTTTGTTTCTGGGATTTCCACTGAACCAGGGCATTTCCAATATATATGGCATAGCCAGTGGTAGACTTTCCATTTTCTCTGTCCCCCCAGCTGGCATCAGCGTATGCATACACTTGCTGATCATATCCTGTATCCAGCATCAGTTTGTAATCTTTTGTGCCTTTCAGATACCTTAGGATTCTTTTAAGTGCTACCCAATCTCTCTGAGCCGGGTCTGCACTTCTTTGGCTTAACATGTGCACTGCCAATGTTATGTCGGGTCTTGTCCAACAACTTAAATATAACAGAGAACCCAACAGAGAATGAAATGCTGTTGCATTCTCACATTTTTGCCCTTCTGGTTCATTTTTGTACTGGGTAGTTATGGGAGTGTCAACCTCATTTGCCCTCTCCATTCCATATGTCTTCAGTAACTTTTCAATTTTTTCCTTCTGACTCAGAGAGTAGACGCCCTCTTCATTTCTCTGAACCTCTACTCCTAAGTAATTCTGAATCTCTCCCAAATACTTCAGTTTGTATTTGTTACCTAGGCTGTTTATAAACCAAGACACTTGCTTTTGTGCAGTTGTTATTAGACAGATATCATCAACATACAAAAGTAAATAACAAACACTTCCTTGCACCATTGCTGAATATAAACAGGAATCAGCCAGGCTTTGTTTGAATCCCATCTTTTCAAAGTTGTGTCTATGCATTCATGCCAGAGACGTGCACTTTGGTGTAAACCATATAGTGCCCTTTGCAGCTTTAACACCATGCTGTCTTTTTCCAGCTCATAACCTGGTATTTGCTGTAAATACACCTCGAGCGTCAATAGGAGCATTTAAATATGCTGAGGCAACATCAAAATGATTAACTTTTAACCCTCTCAGACTTGCCATTGCTAAAACTGATTTTACTGTTTCAGCCTTTGCTGTTGGGGCAAACACTTCATCATAATGTATCATTTTCCTTTGTGTAAAGCCCCTTGCAACCAACCTGGCTTTCCTCTGACAACTACCATCAGCCAGCTTTTTCACTTTAAAAACCCACTTACAGCTTATGGGCTTTTTACCTTCAGGCAATTCTGTAGGTACAAACACATTGTTGTTTAGCAGAGAGTTATACTCTGCCTGCATTGCCTTTAACCACGCCTCTTTCTCTAGAGTAGGTAACTCTTGCACTTCTTCAAAGTTTTCTGGCTCAGTTACACAAACCTGGTTTATGGTGGCTGGGAACCCATAACGGTCTGGAGGTTGACCTTTATTACTTCTTGTAGACCTCCTTGGTTCATTAATCTCACCCCCTGGACTACCTTCAGGACTGCTTTTGGGGTGGATTGATTCTGGAGATTTACCTCCTCCTGTCCCTGTTGTACTTTCTTTTCCCCCTTGCTCCATGCTAGCAGCTGGAGAAAAATGCTCAACCTTTACCTCCTCCCTTTCAATTTCTCTGGGAGAGCTGCCAAATCTTAGCTTTGTTTCAACTGCCTTATCAGGTATGCTCAGCAGTAAAACTTTTTCTGGCAGCAGGTTTGCATGTATCTTGGGCCAATTTCTTTGCTCATTAAAGCTGGCTGATCGACTATAACTCAAAAGATTTTTATCATCTTCAAACCTGTAGGCTTTCGTACCACTTTCATACCCAAGAAATAGCAACTGCTGTGCCCTTTTCCCACCTTTTCTTCGGTTCTTTACAGGTATGTCAACCCACGCCTTTGTCCCAAAGATTCTCAAATGTTGCAAACTGGGACTTTTGTTATAGAGAATTTTATAGGGTATGTCATCTAGTACCCTTGACCACAAGCGATTCCCAATATAATTTGTGGTCTTAATACTCTCAGCCCAGTACTTAATTGGAAGATTTGCATCTGCTAACAATGCTTTCATTTGTGTCTGCAAGACACCTCCCCTACGCTCTGCTACTCCATTCTCCTGAGGCGTTGCCACATTGGTAAGTCTATGTTTAATCCCTTGGGAACGCAACCAGTTTCTTAGGGAGCTTGCCATAAACTCTCCTCCCCTGTCTGTCTGAATAGAGCACACCTTTTCACCAAGTTGCCTTTCTACCCTTCTTACCCAGAACTTCAAAGTTTGGGCAACGTCAGACTTTTGCTTTAATGGATAGACCCAGCCAAATCTAGAATAGTCATCCACTAGGATCAAACAGTACTTGTTATGGGAGACACTTGGTGGAAAAGGACCAGTTACATCAGCATGAATCAACTCCAGTGGTTTTTTGGTTTCTCTCTGGCTTGCTCTTGCTACTGGGCAAGCCCTGCTTTTAACCTCCTTGCAGATATTGCAATCTAAGTAATTATCACAACTTTTAATGTTTTTCATCCCCCCCCCCCACAACTCCAATGTTTTGCTCAGCACCTTAAAGCCAGACGCCTGTGCAGGAGATGAATACACATATCATGGGTTGGGACATTTTGCACATTCGCAACCTTAGACTCACACTGCAGTACATACATATTAGTTCTAAGGTTAGCATTTGCCAACACTGCCCCATTTTGCTTTATCTGGCACTGATCTCCCACAAAGTTTACTTCAAAGCCTGCTTTTGCCAAGTCAGGAATACTCAGGAGATTGTTTTGCAAACTAGGCACACACAACACATTCCTGAATGTGTGTCCCAGCTGTGGGAACACAACCTCCCCCTCACAAACCACATTAGCTTTCTGGCCCGTAGCAAGACTTACATGTTTTTTGTTTGAAGCCCTAGCATCAATTAGCAATGCTTTTCTTTTACAAAAGGTTTGAGAAGCTCCACTGTCCAGAACCCACAGCTCTTCCTTTTCTTGACCATCTGCAGACACCCAAGCGGTAGACTCTCTCTGCTGCCTCCTGTGCTTCTGCTGTTTTTGTTGTTTTCTCGGGCAGTCCCGCAGCAGATGTCCACTGGACTTGCAGCAAAAACACCTTTTTACTTTGTTGACCACCGGCTGGTCTGCAGCAGCTCCTCCTGGCTGTTTCTCCGGCTCCCGACACCTCTGCTCTTCCCGGCTGTTGTTCCCTCTGGGATGCTCCAACAGCTGGGCTGAGGTCATCTTTCGCTCTGCACGCCTGTCCTCCTCTGCATACAACCGTCCAGTAACGTATTCCAGAGTCAGCTTATCAGTCTCTACAGACTCGAGGGAATTGACTAGTATATCATAGCTGTCATCAAGGGAACTCAGGACTATAAAGACTTTGTCCTCTTCCCCCACAGGCCTCCCTCTTAAGGCTAGCTCCTGGAAAGGAATTTTAGGTGGTTTACCAGGGAGTCCCCCAGTTTCTTCCGACACCGGTATAGTCTCCTGGTCAGTGTTATCAGTGAGCCAGCTGTCTCTCGCACATGGACAGCCTTGAGCGCATTCCACGCCTCACTTGCCGTCACCTTATCAGCTACGTAGACTAGCTGGCTGTCGTCCACTCCAAGGATGATCGTAGCCAAAGCTTTCTCATCCTTTTCTAGCTGGGCCTCTGCTAGTGCCAGCTTTTCATCGTCCTCATCCCACTCAGGGGGCTGCGGTGTAGTTTCCACCACCTTCCACAGGCCCTCACGCTTGAGGAAGTGTTGCATGCGGACCGACCAGGTGCTGTAGTTCGTGGCCGTCAGCTTCTCCAGCAACACACCAGTTCTGGACTGCTCCATCCCTGCAGCTCACCTCCAGCACCCACGGCTAGATAACTGCCACCTGTACTCTTGCGCAGCGGAAGTGTACTGGGCCCATAACCCTGTCGCGATTCCTCGTGGCGCTTTTAGCAGAAACGCTCAGAGTCCCAGGGTTTTCCAGTGCAGTCTTTTTAATGTGAGCTATATACAGGTATTTACAAAAACAGTCCATACAGAGTACCTGCTCCTTAAGGCAAACAAATACTCTCCACCACAGCACAACCACCACAACCACAGTTACTGTTGAACAGGCTTTCCTTTTTAAAACAGGTGATAGCCAATCACATTAATCACACTCCTGCTGAGTCACTCTGACCCAGCACTTCACAGAGTATTGCATCATCCTGTTGAAGCCTGCAGACTTACTCAGTATCAAGCGAATCCCAACACTCACATGGCCCGTTCATCCTCAACTTGTTGAATGGTGCTGTTCTTTCTCTCTCTTTCAGTGTTTATCAGCTTGTTGTGAAAGAAGAGAGGCCACAGAAGTCACGAAGAGCTGCCGACATCATTGAGTGTTTCTCTGTTCCAGTGAGCTACAAAAATGCTTCAAATCTCGACTCTCCGCATTACTTTGCAGCCGAGTTGAAACCAGTCAACCTTCCTGTCACACAGCCCTTCACGGTGGGAGACAACAAAACTTATAACGGCTACTGGAATGCTCCGCTTTCGCCACTGAAAAGCTACAGCATTTATTTCCAGGCACTCAGTAAAGCAAATGGGGTAAGTGTTTAGCTTTCTGGCTTCAGCCAGCCCCGCAATTGTCATCTCTGGCCTGGCTGGGATGAACTCAGTTCCATCCAACATTTTGTTAAGAATAAAAGCTCTGGATTTCTAAAATAACATATTGGATGAAAACCTTATAACACTATTAGTCTTTAAGGTGCTGCAAGGCTGCAGTCATATTTGCACCATACATAGGAAGTGCATGGCTTCCCTCAAAGTATCCTGGGAACTGTAGTTTATCCCTGACAGAGCTGTAATTCCAAGTATAGTGGTACCTCAGGTTAAGTGCTTAATTCGTTCCGGAGGTCCGTTCTTAACCTGAAACTGTTCTTAACCTGAAGCACCACTTTATAGCTAATGGGGCCTCCTGCTGCTGCCGCGCCGCCGGGGCACAATTTCTGTTCTCATCCTGAAGCAAAGTTCTTAACCTGAGGTACTATTTCTGGGTTAGCGGAGTCTGTAACCTGAAGTGTATATAATCTGAAGCGTCTGTAACCCGAGGTACCACTGTACCTTAATAAACTACAGTTCCCAGGATCCTTTGTGGGAAGCCATGTGATCTCAGTGTGCTTTAGATGTATGATGTGGATATGATCTCCTTGTGTTTATCCTCTGACCCTTTCCTGGTTCCTATTCCCCATTGCCATATATTCCAACTGTCATTGGTTCTTCTACAAAGTTAAGAAAAGCTTGCATAAGCCTAAAATATCTGATGACAACTGATTTAGGCCATGGAACAAGAGAGGAGGAGTGGCGACTTACACAGTCCGGCACCCCACACTACTGAATCATAACTGCGAGGCTGCAGTTCAAACCTCCTGCTTCAAGGAAAACTGTTTGAAAATAATGAATGCCTACACTTTTAATATGATGTAATCTTCTGCATCTATATCTGCCAGGATAGTCCATTTGCCAGTGTGTACCCCAGCCTTTGGGATTTGTTTAGAGCAATTATGTAATATGCAGTTCAGCTTCAAACAAGAATTAGTGGCGCAACGAATGTAGAAAGTTACCATGGTTTCGTCAAGCAGCATTGTTTGCGTTCAGTATATTTGTGAGGGTGGGGTGGACCTGTGTGGGAAATTAATTTGGGACAATTGACTTGTTTTGGTAAAAGAAGCTGATTGTATTTCTCCCTCTCTGACAAGTAAGAAACTTGGCTTAGAATTTTGTTTTGTTGTTTTCCTTTTTATCAAACTCTGACTCATTTCAGTTAAGCATCTGGCTTTTGGCAAGCCCAAGGAGCAAAATTCACACCATTCAGAAAACAGGTGCTTTGTATAACAAAGCCAAAGAATATTCTGTTTCACACATGTTCTATTTAGATTACCTTCTGGGAGAAACACCAGATAGCCCAGCTCCCTCGTGACAGCCCGCAAGAAGAACTCAAATGAGCGTCTGTCTTATCCTACACCCAAATATATGCGCATACACACAAATATAGTGTTGCATAACAAAAGGCGAGAGAACTTGTGATCTAAATCAGCTGCAGTTTACCACATTTGTTATATAACTGCCTATTAATTGTGCTGTTTTTCAGTGCAGCCCTCACAGCTAATGGTAACAGAGATAATGAGAACTTGGAATTGAGCTCCCTTTGCTACAAAGTGTAACAGTGAAAAAATCTTACACTACTGTTATTGCTGTTTAATCCAGTAGCTTTTCAAGTGCTCAATTAATTTATTTCAAATAAAAATTTAGCAAAGGTTTAGAATAAAACAAAAATTTACCCTCCCTATATTTGTACACTTTTTTCATTTCCCATTGGACACCTGTAGAATAACACATGACTAAATTATAGTTTGTGGAGTTGCCAAATTTGGAATTGATGGATTCTTCTTATTTATGTATGTATTGTTAAAACATTTTGTGCTTTTGAAAGCCTGGTCAAAAAGGTTCACCACGCCTGCAGTTAGTGCCTGTGATGAGCAGAGATAGTGTGGGACAAGAGTAGCCAATATAACCAATGCAATGATAGACAACAGTTCCCATCTTCTCTGAACACGGCCTAAGTTTGCGAGGGCTTATGATAATAGAAAGAAGGGTCCAGAGCTCTGAGCACCAAAAGTGTTCTTCCAGGATGTTTTATCAAATATTCCACTACTCAACAGCCATCTTTTGCTGATTCTTAGTTGCCTGTTGGAAGTTCTCTCTTTCTCTCTCTCTCTCTCTCTCTCTCTCTCACACACACACACACACACACAATCCAACAAAAAAGACAAAAAACAGAAAACCTATCTCCAGATGTTAAAGAGTATTGCACTTTTTCTTAATGCCCAGTGTGGTTTTGGCCAGAACAGGCCTTTCTTGAGGGCTTTTCTGTTGGAGGGCTAGTCATTATTCCCCAGTTCTGAGACTGATAAATTAGTGGGAAGATTTTCAGTTGCTGACGTGGCGGTCTAAAATATTCCTAAAGCTTGCACAAGTAGTGCTTTAGGGGGAAGAAATCATCAACATCCATGCCATGAGATATAGAGGCATCTTTTTATCTAATCCAGCCCATGGAGAACATATTTGCCATAAGAGGGTGTTATTGAAACTGAACAATATTTTCGTCTTTTGAAATTACTGTTCAGATATGGTGATGTAGAAATTTCATACTGCAATGCCATGCTGATGCTTGCAAAATGTGCACAAAACGTATCCATATTAATGGGGCCCTGTTTCCTACAGTAATTTATGCAGTATTCATTACACCAGAGACTTGTACATGACAGTGTAAAAACATAAGTGGAAAGGAAAGCCTGCAGCCTATTACTGCCTGACAAAGTAACTTTTCAGAACCACAAAGGCTTGCTATGTTGCACACATGTTCATGGGCCATATGGGTGTGATCTGTGTCAATAAATAATGTAGCGAAGGGGGGAGAGATTCTGAAGACTGGCAGTAGCACATATTTACAGTGAATTAGGTATTACTATTATTAGAAATGGTGGCCCACAACATAAAATCACAAAATATAAAGCACAAAATACATAATGAAAACAAAAAACAAAGACAACCCAATAATAATATTAATATTAATAATTTATTATTTATACCCCGCCCATCTGGCTGAGTTTCCCCAGCCACTCTGGGAGACTCCCAATTGAGTGTTAAAAACAATGCACATTAAATATTTAAAAAATTCCTAAACAGGGCTGCCTTCAGATGTCTTTTAAAGATAAGATAGCTGCTTATTTCCTTCACATCTGAAGGGAGGGTGTTCCACAGGGCGGGCACCTCCACCGAGAAGGCCCTCTGCCTGGTTCCCTGTAACCTCACTTCTCGCAATGAGGGAACCGCCAGAAGGCCCTCGGCGCTGGATCTCAGTGTCCGGGCTCAATGATGGGGGTGGACCTGCCCCCCCCAACACATTTTAAAAGGACATTGGATGCCAATCAGCCAAAGGCCTGGTTAAAGAGGGCCATTTTTGCCTGGCATCTAAAGGTGTACAATGAAGATGCCAGCCGAACCTCCCTGGGGAGAGCATTCCACAAATGGGGAGCCACTGCAGAAAAGGCCCATTCTCGTGTCTCCATTCTCCAGGCCTCTTTTGGACGTTTCTGCAGTTCCGGGAACAAGGCAGGGAGTAACCATAATCTAAAAATACCTATGTCTACTAGCCGTGATGACTATGTTCTGCCTCCATGGTTGAAAGTAGTAATGCTTCTGAATAGCAATTGCTGAAAGCCACAAGAGGCTAGAGTGCATTTATGTTCAGGTCCCGATTCCAGGTTTCTCACAGGCATCTGGTTGGCCCCCTGTGAGAACAGGATGCAGGACTAGACAGGTCAATGGATTCATCCGGAAGAGCTGTTCTAACATTCTTAGGGGGAATCAGAGCCTGCTGTCAGTTAAGCTGGGCTCCTTGTCTGAACAACCGCTCACACTCATTGGATGGGCTTCTTCAGGACCTTCTGATCTCCTCCCATTTGGTGGTGCCTTTAGGCCTGAACTTCAAGTCCCCACAGACCAGAAGCCCCCAAACAAGCCCTAGAGATAGTCTACAAATGATGGGGATGGCTGCAAAGAAGTCCAGCTTTCACATCTGGCATGCAAATATGGGGGCTGATACAATGTATCACAACATACCATCGTGTAAAATATTACTGATTGTATGTTTGTGTGTGTTTGCAGGGGACATGGCTACTTTTAACAATACATTATCAATGGGTTGCATCCAGTGCTGCACATGTGGAGGCCCACTCATGCAGTGGGACTTCCCCTTCCCCTACTCTCCTTCAGTGCCCCCCAAATCTGCTTTGCAGAGCCTACCAACCCACTGAAGGAGATTTTGAGGGTGGCGGCTACAAGGATAAGTTCCATTGTGCAAGAGGAAGTCCATTGTACAATGGAATGACAGCAACGGATACAACTCATTATTTTTAAAAGAGGGCACTTGCTTTACTACTTTTGTAAATGGTACAATAAAACATAACCAGCAGATATTTCTGTAGTACATTAATACACAGAGTCTTTTGGATTAGTGCAGAAAAGGAATGGTTGAAAAGCAGCTCATGCTGATATATAAATCATTTAAGAAAATAGGTACCTAAGGGGAGACATATTTTTTTCTAGTATCTGGTAGACATCTTCTAGGCTTATAAGATATTATTGCTTTCAAGTGTCTGGTAGTGAAAGTTTTAATAGAGTGTTTTGGCTCTTTATGTGAATCAGTTAAGTGCTTATCCCTACTTTTCTGATAAATACTGTATGAGTTATTCAGTAGCATCTTTTTCAGAATAGTTTCTATCTGAACAGGCACCCATCAATTGATGTGATACTCATAAAGTCATATTCCACAAGGCAACTGCAATAGCTATGGATGCTATTGCAGTATTAGTGGGCATTATCATTTTCCCCCTAGGTATGAAATACTGTTGTTTGAATCCCATTGATGAAGATGTGTGATACCCTTGCAAGAGATGTACAACATCTGAATTTTGCACAACAATTTTGCCCTTATTATGCTACACATTCCAATGAATAGTTCAGAAAGACTCTGCCGTCCACTGTGGCTCACAGTGCTACTTCTTAAACTGTTCTTACACAAAGAAGCAGACATACCTGATGCTTTTCCATATTCTGTCATTTTCAGGAGACCAAAATCAACTGTGTCCGGCTGGCAACAAAAGGTATGTTGAAGACCTTTTTTTAGAAAAACAAAACTCCTAGTTCTAAGCATAATGCTCATATGGAAACCAGTTCTGTTGTGATTGAAAATACAGCCACCAGGTAATCTTTAAGGTGCCATGGGACACTTTGTAGTTCTGTTGTAATGGAATAACTTGGTTCTCTTATCAAAAGTGGCTTTTTTTTTTGTCCCTTAAACTATATGTGGTTCATTCAGAAAAAGTGAGTTATCAAATATGTTTGTGGGATTTGGGGAAGACCTGCTTTTGTTTGTTCATACCAGACAGACCGTGGTTGTTGTTTTAACTTCCCAACATTTCCCTTTTGTTTTCTGTAGCTTCATTCCTACAGTTCTTATTACTCTTGTGAGAATATAATCCTCTAGTATCTTGGTCTTCATTATGGAAGGGGAGTGAGGATGGGATATTCAAACTTGCAAACAGTTCAAAGATAACCGCATGTATTAATTCCCAATGGGGATGGATTTAACAGTTTCTGAAAAGTCAGTCTTGTCTTGATACTGGTTGGCAGTTGTTCCTGGTTTATCTCCAGTGACCTTGACAAGAAAGACTTCAGATTAAAACTAATATGAGACAAGGAATCAAACCACTGACCACATACCAGTGTCTAGCTTGAGCCAAGTGAAATGGCAGTGCTTTGTTAAAATAATACATTTGTCACCTCTCAGTCTAAATGACAAGGTTGTGGCTCCTGTGGGAAAGCATTATATGTGTCCTAATATGTTTTTTCGATTATAGTAGTTCATATGAACCTCCTGAGAATGGAAGAGAATCACCCCAGAGGTAGCTTTGCTAGCAAAGGTGTCAATAAAGCAATTTATTTTCTAACAAAATGTAAAGAAAAGAAAAAGAATATCTCTCAGCCAATTCTACATTCTCAATAAACATGCCCTTGAACACAATTGTAGAAATGACGAGGGGAATTGTGGTTAAAAAGACTGCCTGGCAAACAGCTTTGTGTTGTCAAAATTTTGCCCAACCTTTGCACTGATATCATGCTGAATAGCATAATGATCATATAGCCCAGTTTATCTCAGTGTAATTGACAGTGGGCTTCCCAGCTCTTGCACAATTTTTAAAACTCATGTCCTTGCTTCTTCCTCATTTCTTGTAGTCATATGTGAAATGTTAGCCTATTGTTTGGGTACTTCCATGCCTTTTCAAATTGGTCCAGGACAAGCCCAGCATAGAAATCTCAATGTACAATAAACCATCAAGGAATAAGATGGTGGTCAAATGATGGGCATGGAGTGATATAAAAACTGGAATGCCCTTGACTACTCTTAACCTTTGGTTTCTGTTGTGTGCCTTGTTCGTTGCCAATGTAGGTTTAACCAGAAAACGACTTGCTCATATGAGCAATTAAATTGTGTGTCTGGGCCATCCCTTTTCTGACAAAAAAAGTATTGTTTCTCATATTGATTAACAATAACAATAATGTATCAAAACAAGGTGAACTCTTCGATAATTTCTTGCTTACATGTGAATGTAAGACTGCACCTAGCACACATGTATACACACACACACACACACACACACACACACACCAGTTGAAAACACTGAAGCGACAACTGAGAAAGATCTCATCTCAGTACCCGTCTATGATCTGCTACCTAAATCATATGGGAAAAACTAGTTTTCCAAAGCTCAGGCTTGCATAGCCAGATCTGAGCACCCACAATATCCACCTCAAAAGGAGAAGGGAAATTCTTGTCGGGCTCATATTGAAATTGGAGCCAGGCAGGAATTCACAGCTTTCCCCTGCCCCACAACCTGCCTTTACCACCCCAAAGTTCTTCCCCACCAGTCCTTTCAACACATCCCACTTTCCTTCCCTCCCAAGCACCAGTGAAAGCTTGCATGGAGGAGGGGGAGGGGAGATTCTCTCCCCCCCACACACATCTGGAAACAAAGCCTGATGGCTGAGAGGTCTGTGTTCTGTCAGCCACCCAGCTTTGTTCTTTGATACGCTGCTAATCAGCATGTCAGGAAGAGGAGAGGAAGAGAAGAATGGGAGAAAAAATGTATATATTCTTGCATGCTGCTATTGCTTTTCTCAGCACCACTGGCATTTGGAAAGAATGTGAAGGATGATTTGAAGGATGGGGATGACTTTTGAGGATGGAGAGGAAAGATGGGGATGAGAGCAGATATTTTGGCTTGCAATCTTTTAAAGAGGTTGCATCATTTCTGTGCCAAAATAGAGGAGAGCTTTGTAGAGCTTTCTAGTCTCTAGTAGCAGCCCATAGCAGTTCTGTTGCATTTAGCAAATGCCACAGAACCTGGTAGAGATGCTGAGATCATAAACCTGTTAAGATGTGATGCAGCACATGGGTTATGTCATCCCTCTATAGCCAACAGAGTGTGTTTCCTTCTTCTCCCTTGCATGCTGTTGTCTTGAGTTGTTTTAGTATATTGCTCACACTTTCTCCTTGTCGTTTCCTCTGTAGAAGTTCTTGTCAATGCATTACCTTAACTCCTATGTGTGTAGTAGCAATAACAACAAAAGCAAAATGGGTTTCAGATAATTTATTTTCTCATGCCCTTGCATTAAAACTTTAACAAACACCACAAGATACGATAATGCTATTGAAATTAAAATGTTAATTCTTTTTAACTAGGCTTCCTTCCCCCCGCCCTGGATTTAGCAATCCTGAGACCATTTTTCACCATGTTAGTATATGATGTCCCGTGTAGGCCGATGGTTGCCTGCCTTTACTCCCAGTTTCATTGAGTGCATGGCACAATGAGCAGTTAAGCATCACCCAAAAAGAGGGAGTCTGTTACCAACATAGAAGACAGAGGTTTCCATAAAATTGGCCTGAATTAGCATATGCAATAGTTAACAAATGCAATGGCATAGTTGCAAATTTAATAATTACATGTTTGTTTTAGTGGTTGCTTGCCACATGAAGTCTTGATGTAGAAAGACAAAATCCCATCACACAGCACAACACAAAAAACAATTGGACACACTTAAGGCAAAGAGGCCATAAAAGCAAATACCTCCATACTTCCAACACAGGCTTCATCACCAAAAAAAGGCCAAGGGGTTGGGGGGAAATCCATAGAAGATTAACACTCAATGCCTGGAAGAAAATTTAACATCTTTGTCTAATACTAAAAAGCTGTTAGCACCAAGCAAGACTCCCTGGGGAGAGCATCCCCATGGCTGAAAAGGCCAATTCTCTTGCTGCTGGAGGGAGGGACAGAGAGAAGAGATGCAATGAAGACCTTTGGGATCTATATCTCCAGAGTTTAACTGGAGAGCTGTTTAAATAGAGGACTTCTTCAAATAGGGAGCTGTCCTCTGTAAAGTAAGACACGTAAATGCCCTGGCTCATGGTGATCTGGATTTGCCATGAACCTGAATGAGCGTGTGCCACCAGTAAAGCCCTAATATGATGTTGTGGTGATCTATTTCTGTATATGGTGTAGACAATGCATTTCTATAGTGACTAAGAATGAACATGCAGTTGGTTTCTCCTCCGGATCACCATGAACAGGCTGGTTCAAGATAATAAGCTCTCACGTATGTTTGGATTATTATGGACTGCTTCCACTCTCTTTACTGTCTGATAGCAAAGAGGATTTGGTGGAAAGATAATTTGGACGTGGGCAAAAATATATGGAGCAGAAAAGATACTTAATGAACCTTCTTCCAAATTGCCATAGGCAGCTACTTTTCTAAAATAGCTCAGACAGAAAACTTAAAATGTCCTTTTAAAAGCAAGCTCTGCTGAAAATCACTTGTTAATTTTGCAGCAAGATGTGAAAGCTGGAAGGTAGATGTGGGAAGGGATGGTGAACAAGTTTTACTGTTTAAGATAAATAAAATAAAATAGGCTGGTTTCAATTAATCTTGAAAAGAAGTGAAAAGCATTATTCCCTTTGTAGTGGATGCATGCAAGCATTGGAGTTACTTACATAAATAGGGAAAGCATGGTGACAGGATGTCATTGCCATTTTCTGCAGAAGCTTCCCATGACACTTAGAGACCTGGATCAGGCCATCTGGAACAGGTTCCCTGCTGCCCATGTTGTGAAAAACACAGTGATGGCAGGTGGGAGAAGAGCCATATGACTTTGATGGGTGGGGCAAGCTATGCAGCCCTAAAACCCCTGTTGGAGGGGTGGTCAGCAGGGACTGATTCCACTGTGAACCTTACCTCCAGGCAGCAGCATCTCTACTGCTTACCTGGATGCCATTGGAGCCAGTCTAGCACTGAGGTCAGGAGGGAGGTGCCTGTGTAATGGAACAAGCATCAGATTGGCTCCACAAGTGCACAGACTCCACCCTGACCTCACCACCCCCCTGCTTCACCCCTGCCCCTACACAGTGGTTGGGAGGCCAGATCTGCAGTGCCACCTCTTCCTGCCAACCGCTTCTGCCCTGCCATCACACGTATCCTCTTCTCATGTACAATATACAAAGAGGGCTAAAATCTTATTCAAGAAAGGATACATGTATGCCACCTGGAAACCTTTTTCTTTAATGTAATTGTATCTGATAAGGGGAGAGTTTTGCTGATAATAATAGTAATAATGTAGGTTTTCCTGATAATAATAATAATAATAGTGGAGGTTTAAAATGGAATGTAATCATGAGCAGTTCTCTGTTATCAATGGCTACTAGACATTATGTCTTCTTCTTCTAATATAAGTATGTGTTATAATACTAGTATTATATAATCTCAAGGGTGCTTCCATGTAACTGGAGATGCAGTCCTAATGGGAGGAAACCCAGTCAGTTGGGTGGTGTATAAGTAATAAATAATAACAATCTATTATTATTATTATTATTATTATTATTATTATTATTATTATTTGGATTGAACTGAACTCACCATCCAGGCATTAGCTAATTGTAATGGCACAGGGGCTCATTTAGGCAGGGGTTCTAAAACCATTCTGAAAGCTACTATTATTCCTAATCCTAAATCAAATCAAATCTTTATTTTGGTCATAGACCAGCATATAATCCTAAATCCTTCAGGAAAAGGACATGCTTCTCTACAGCATAAAACAGGAAAGATTTACATAGTAGTTGGGTTCTTTAAGAAAGGAACGAAATGCTGTTCCCTAAAAGGGCACAATTCTGTTCATCACTAGTTCTCCCTTCTTGTGCATGCATCATGTGCCTTAGAGTTATTTTTTTCATTCTAGGCTCTGCTGTAGTCAGACCACCTGCTCTTTGTTTGGTGTTTATGTCTTGAACTGGAGACAGTCTGGAATGGCATCTTGTTCCTTTAGCCATTACCTTACCCTTGGAAAACCACAAAACAGCTTGATCCCAAACAGCTTAACCAATATACTTTCCTCAGTCCTCCCCCTTACATGGCTGCTCACCCTTCCATTCCTGCATAAGTTGGGAAGATCTCTGTCTCTCCTGTTTTGTGAGCACCAGAAGCTCTAATTCTCTTTCTCCTTGCCCAAATAATACATGAATTGAAAATGGTGCATGACATCCATCCAGCACATATCATGCCAGTGGCACCCTGCATGCAACTCTACAATATGAATCTCCATGACAATTTAAAAGAACAAAGGAACTAGGACCAAGCTGATTTCATTTCACTTTACCAATTGTAATAATAACAACAACAACAATATTTTATTATTCAAACCCCGCCCATCTGGCTGGGTTTCCCCAATTGTGAAATTTGGGGTGGCATGTTGGCTAAAACTTCAGTTGAACTAAAGGAAAACTTCCTAACAATTTGTGAAGTTGGGGAGCAGCTCATTGCAGCACACCAAGGTGGGAATGTTCCCAGCCTTTCTGTTGTTGTATCCCACCCCAATCTCCAAGCGATTCCAGGGGTTCCAGGTGCTTATCCAGGGTTCATGTTTCCTTCAGAATGGGGGACAGCAGAGGCTGTGTTGTCTTTTCAAACCTAGCAGTTCGAAAGCATACCAGTGTGAGTAGATAAATAGGTACCGCTGCAGCAGGAAGGTAAACAGCATTTCCATGCACTCTGTTACATGTCACGGTGTTCTGTGCACCAGAAGTGGCATAGTCATGCTGGCCACATGACCTGGAAAGCTGTCTGTGGACAAAAACCGGCTCCCTCGGCCTGAAAGCGGAGGTGAGCACTGCAACCATAGTCAAATTTGACTGGACTTAACCGTCCAGGGATACTTTACCTTATGTTTACCTTTACCCTTTAGGATATATGGTTTGTTTACCTTGGATACAAGCATAAATCAGGCATGTCTCTACCTCAAAGGATTCTAGCTTCTAGCATACACATACACAACTCAGCTCTCTCCTTCTTCTATCATTGAGTTGAGGGAGAGAGACCACCCGTTTGTTCTCTGATACAGAACCACTTCTATGGTTATGTTAACAACCCAGATTTAGAGGAATGGCCATTATATTATTATTATTATTATTATTATTATTATTATTATTATTATAAAATCAAGTTAATATACCACCCTTCATCTGAAGATCTGAGGGCAGTTCACAAGATAAAAATACAGGATAAAGCACAAAGTAATTTCTGGCTATTCTAACAATTCAAACCCTTCCTTAGATTTTAACACTTGCTGAATCCAGGAATTATGTATTGGCATCCAGCCTACCCACCCACCCCGCCAAACTCATAACAATATGTTTTCTTTCGATATTTCTTTCTTTCTTTGTAATGGTTTGTTTGATTCACCACCTTCAGCAGAACCCTGGCCACTGCTGTCAATATTTGACCCTCCTAGAAGCCCTATTCAGGCATCTGGTACCCGTGAGTACCGAATCTGCAAAGCCCCAGGGCATTGATTTTATAACTACCCTACCCCAAACCACCCTGACACAACTGCTCCAATGCTACCTGTGATTGGGGTGGCGAATTGGGGGTGAGCATTATGGCCCGCCTTTGATAAAGATACAATAAATAGTGAATTGCTAAATCAGTCTGGTGTTCTGTCTCGGAGAGCTACCAAACATTTGTTGTTGTGCATAATCTTGAGCACTTATCACATGATCAACCCCACTCCTCACATGTTTACTGAAGTCATTTTTAGAACACCTGAATTAACATGTTTCTCTATTAGCTAAACTAAAAGGTAAGACTGAATACCTGCACCTGCTTTTGTGCCCTTCCTTCTGGACTTACTATTTCCCCCCACAATTACCATAAATGTACATTCACATTGACATGTTTGTTTTAAAAATATCTGTGTTTTGCCTGTTTGTCTGTGACTACTTTATATTCACTTACACTGTCTGCCCATTAAATCCAAAATGATTTTCCTTCTTCCTTTTATTTACTGATGGTATTATCTCCTTTGTATCTTTTGCCTTTTTCATCCATAAAATGGTACCCACCAATTAAATTAGAATGAAGTGGGGGGTCTGCTGAGGAAAATAATAATAATCTAACAGATTTGGGAACCTGAATGCATATCATTTGTGTAACAAGAACCCCTTTAATATCAGCTGATAATTAAACCCCGATTTGCCAGTTCTGTGCTACAGAATTTTAATTCAAAAAGGATTTTTAATCAGTTTTTGCCCCTTTAGTTTCCTTAATGACATGTATTTTATGTTCTTATTTTAATTTGAGCCGTTCTTTTGGCATGAACTGATTTTTCCCCTTCTCCCCAAACAATATATGTTAGTATTGACACTTTATTAGTGAAAATTGCATTCTCTTGCTAAGGGGGAAACAATTACCTCCTGTGTTCTCAAAGCGTGTTTCATTAATTTTACCACCTAATTGAAACGAAGGCAGAGGGCTCATAAATGGTTCCATATCTCTCAAGGTTCATTTTTTTCTGAGTACAAGTTCTTGGAATTAAAATGCAGTTTTATTAAGTGGCACAATTTTATTTTTATTTTCCTTTTTTCTTTTCTCTCTTGTGCATGCTGCCTGGGGACCGTTTTCCTTGTTCTTAGCAGTAATAAGTAGGCAACAGGTGACTACCCGAAACCCGCCCAGCCTCATGAGCACAGGTGATTATCAGTTCAGGAAAGGGGGTGTCATAAAAATGCAAACCATTTTGGCAGTTGCAAGATTGTCGTGTCATGTTTTGCCTGCATGCCGAAACAAGTATGATGCCAGGCTGATTTGTTTACAGGAGATTTTAAATACTTTCTGCATTAGGCCATCTCAAATCCAATTTGAATGTTTACATGTAGTAGTTAAGTGGATTGCTGCACTTAGAATGGCACCCAGAACCACGTGGGGATTACATGGTATTGCCAAACTACCCTTGAAACGTTAATTATGGTTCAAGAGAAGGCGACTCATCTTTTCCTTGATTCCTTGATTCCTTGATTTCTAGTAGACAATTAAAACGTGAAGGCCACTGGCACTACTATTCCACTCTCAGGAAAGGAGCAGGCAGAAAGGTCACGAGTGGCTTTTGAAGTGATGCTATAAGATATCCTTTCAGGATATCTGCTGAAATGTTTGGAAGGATCACATCAGCAGACATGCAGTCCCATTTTCAACTTGCACATCCGAGAAAATATATTGATAGCATTCTTAAAGCCGTTTCCCAATAGATGTTGTCATGGCCATATCTATGCACACAGCAGGGCATACTGAGCTACACACAACATGCACACTAGTGGGATAGCCCTTGAAAGCACAAGAGTACCGTAATTTGCTAAAGGGCTAAATCTCTATAAATTGGCCAAGCTTGTCAGCATTATATTGGGATACTAGATAATGAAGTCTTCATTCTATCCAGAGTTTCTTTGTTACCTCTCACCCAGTTCAGGCACCTCTCAGCTCATTCAGACACCTGTATCTTTAAGATTTCCAAAACTATGAAAGGAAAAACATGTTGGTGTTATTACTCTTACTTCATGAGGAAGGTGAAGAAACCTGAACAACATCCCTACAGCTAACATCTTCAAGAGACAGCCCTCCATTTCCCAATCTCCAGACATCGTCTTCTTCTTCTTCTTCTTCTTCTTCTTCTTCTTCTTCTTCTTCTTCCTCTGCTCCTCCTCCTCCTCCTCCTCCTTCTCTTTTATCCGGAATTACAGTCATGACCTCTTTCCACTAGTTCTTATTGCTGGAGGGATTAACAGAGCTGTTGCGCAATATGAAGTGGGGACATATTCAAGCATTCTGGAATGGGTAGATGAGCCATATTCATTTACAAGTTGAAAGCTTAAGGATGGGAGAGGATGGTATGTGCCTCTGCAAATAATGAGAAATGCCATCCCTGGACATGGAAAGAACCTTCTGAGCATTGAATGTAGACTCTATGACATACATGCATTAAACTAATCATACATAGATACAGAGGGTGGACAGTGCATGTGATTCTGCTTTCTGGCATTACAAGCAAGAAATGATAGGAATAACAAACTAGCTTAGAAAATGGGAGGAAATAACTATCCTTCCTTGTCTCAGAAGAGTTGAGGCTAGAAGATCTTTGGTGTGGTTAATAAGTTTTGGTGTTGGTGTTGTTTGTAGACTGTAGTCTGACAGTACTATTTGATTGTGAACTACACATGAGAACTGGGAAGAATTTTCTATTCATTTCGGTTTGGCTCTTATTCTTGCAGAAATATTCAACAGCAGTGGATCAGGTAGATAAATAAAATGATACCGAATGAGTTCCTTGAAATATTATGGATCCTATTTTGTTTAATGCTTTATTAGCAAAAAGCCATGCCATGAAATTGCTGCTTTGGAGTGCATAGTATTAGCAGCTTGCTCTTTGAAGATCTTTCCCACTGACTTTAATGGGGGGGCAATTCTGTGCACTTATTGTCACTGTGTGCACATGGAAGTGTTTGCAACAGAGTCAATGGAAAAGTTATATGACACAGGAAGAGCATATACTAAACTTAGTGCAGATTGAATCAGTGACAGGAGCTCAAAAATGCACAGAGACCTTAATGTACTGATTGCAACACATAAAATCAATTTCCTGTAAAATAAAAAGGAAATTCAGGTTGAACCCTCTCCTCAATCAATACATGAATAACTTTGCAACATCAGAAAGCTGTTCTTTAAAAAGGTTGCTCTTTTAATAGGTCTTGTTCATTCAGATTAAATTAGAACAGCTCTATTGTTTTTCAAAATGTATTCCAGCTTTGTAGACAGATAATGCATCCTTAAAACAGACCTAATCTCATGTCAAATTTATTATTGCAATTTATCTTTTTACACTTGAATGCTATTCCTTTGACAGGTCTATTTCATTACAAACTCATTTTCAAATGGCTTGCTGCATTTCATCCTAGGCTTGATCCATGAATATTTTCCTTGTGTCACTTCTATTCTTTCCAAAAGATATTTTGACTGTAGGCTCCTGTATCACCATGATGAAGTGTTAGCAACAATGGTTTATAGAACTCTTACCAAGTGATACCCTAGGTCAAAAAAACAAATCTGCTGAAATGCACATATTTGTTTGGTTTATGGGGACACTTTTCTCCACAAGTTCGGTGCCCTGTCTTTCCAACTTGTTTGAAACGTACATGTTGAGAACTTGCTGCTTCTGCAGCATAGTAATACAAATGAAATGAATGCCAGCCTAATTGAGTTGGGGGGAAGGGGAATTGGAGGCATTCTGACATCACTAGATCCAGAAGTAGAAAACAGGCTATAGGAGTACATTTGAAGATGACATAGACAACATCTCCATTTATTATAACAAATGGAGTACATGAAAAAGGTCTTTAGCTCAGCCAAGGCATCTAGCAGCCCTCTGCATTGCATAAAGCTTTATCCAGATGACTGCCATAAGCATCAAGGCAAAAGGTTGCATCAAACCAGAAGGAATATTACAGCTTTAAAAGAATATATCTATGAACAGTCACTGGATTGACATTCTCTTAATAATTTACATGCCTTAGCACCTTTGCTTGAGGTGTGCTCGCCTGATCCCGAAGGAGAAAAGCTGTTTCACTGGAACAACATGAATTACAATTGTTCATTCTCTCTGGGTTGCTTCAAAAGGTTACCATGAATATATGATTGTCATTAAATGTCCATAAAGTTAAGCTTCCAAAGGCATGACAAGCCCGAAGCTATTATTATTAATACATGATGCCTTAGTTTCTTAAATAGATTTCTCTGGGAGCCCATCACCCGCTGCAGCCATTATTATTATTAATGCATTTAGGTTCTTATTTCAGGTATAATGTCTAAGAACTCTGTAACAGCAATAGACTTTTAATAATAATAAAAGAAAGAGGCAGCTGTTGAAAAGAGAAGGCCTAGCCAGCAACCCACCCACGCAACATGAGTACCTTAAGAATACATGAGGTTGTGGCTGATACTGCAGTCAGGAAATGTTTGCATGGAAGATTTGCTTTGTTTGAATTTGTTCCTTCACTTAAAAATCAAACAAGTGGCTGTTACAGTTTGTGCATCTGCAGATAAGATGTTTTCCTTGGGCCCAAGGGAGAAAAGGGGGCAGAATCAAAAACCAAGAGAAGCAAGAGGCGAAACCTCAAAATGGTGCTAAACACCAAATCATTATAATTTACGGTTCTTATAATATACTGAAAAACCCAGTGTGTTTCATTTGCTTCTGCCCATTTCACCACCCACAACGCACAGGACTGTAGGGAGGTTCAGATGTCATTTCAAGCTCCATCTCTCCATAGAACACTTAGCTGAAGTTATTTGCTATGCAGGATCCGCCAAAGATTATTTCCCATCTGGGTTGGTGAGAAGGAAAACATTTCAGTGCTTGGAGCCCTTTGATATGTAAACCAAACACTACTGAGATGAAATGGCTTCCTTTTGACTCCAGGGATGATTGCAGGTTCTATAGTGCCAACAGTTGTACTTAAGTAGGCTTTGTTTCCCCCCTGGAGTGAGGAGGATCAAAAAGAAGCACCTTTCCCAACATATATTGTCAGCTGGAACAGACAAATTGGGCACAAAAGACCAGAGCATTCCCAATAATTCATCCCAACAAGCAACAAAAGTGTGCAGTTATCACATCAGGCTTTAATGTAATGCCATTCTGTTTTCTCCTCCTCCTTATTTGTGAATTTGGGTGGCTGTGGTGATACCAGAACCTTCATTAATTTTCTCTAATGTCATAGGAACAAGATACAACTTTCACTCTTATCTCTGTATCATATATATTCTTATGAATTCATTTCCCCCCTTAGTTTGTGATTGCAACTGTAGTTAAGAAATCTTTGGCTCATTGTGTGTATGGCATGCCTTAATATCCTAAACTTTTCTTCTCTAGTTACTTCTGTGTAATGCACCAAGTTATTTTTAAAGGAAATTCATTTTACATATTACGACTTCTTCTGAGAAGACAAATACTTAGCCTGCTAGTTTCTTACTTCCAGATTGTATTACAATCCGTTAACTCTCCAGCTGAAAAAGCCAATTTAAATATTTCCCAAGGCCGGAATCTTAGCTAGCATCTTAACTCCTTATGCTTGCCTTTCTTTTTTATTTGATATCCCCCTTGTTGTTTAGTCATGTCCAACTCTTCGAGACCCCATGGACCAGAGCACGCCAGGCACTCCTGTCTTCTACTGCCTCCCACAATTTGGTCAAACTCATGTTAGTAGCTTCGATATCCCCCTACATATGCACATATCATTCCGCTGCACAGCCAAAATATGCATCAGAATCTGTAGAAAGTCTAGGCTGCTCCATTTTCCTATGCTAAGCTAAATTCATAAAAAAATGGCACGTATAACCACATTCATTTCTATGGCTATAAAAACAAATCTTCATGGGATGTTCCTGGAGTTGTGCTGGGGACTCCTTCAATGGAAGTTGGCTTGTATTTCTCTTTTCCAAGAACTTCCCATAAGCACTGTTTGTACATGGAGTTGGTCACATAGCATGCCTTGGGACTGGATTTTGCTTTTCATCTTTTGTCCCGTTTTCCCATTCAGTTACTTTATAGTTAAGAAATGTGATAGCTAACACCTGCTGATCATTTTGTGCATGTATGTATGCATATATTCATGACGGGAGCAGCTTAAAAGTTGCTAAAAGGAATCTTCCCAGCAAAAAGTGATATAAAAGTTTTGAGAAATATCTAATTGTTACAGGAATGCTATCAGATCCTCCCTACGATTGATTTTAATCCTTGTTAACTAAGTAGCTTAAAAATGTGTCATCTTCATATCCTAAAATAAGAATCATGAATTAAATATTTTATTCATCAAAGCCATAAATAGGATTTAGCTGCTTTTCATTTTCTCAGCATCTCAAGGATCAGTTTAGCATCTTCTAAGCGTCTTTGCAGAATTCTCTTGATCACATTAGTAAGAATAAAACTCAGTATTAACTAGTAGAATAGAATGGAGGAATGTAGTGAACTGTAATGAAACTTACCATATATTGCGTAGGAACTGCATCAAAACATCCTTAGTATAACACATTGGCTAAGGAATGAAAAGTGAATGTAAGAAACCACTTTAAAGCAAATCAGATAATTGGAGCATCTAGCTCTCCAGCATTTTATGCAATAGTCTGTTTAAATGCTGGGGGGTGAATGTGATCTGTCACTGAGCTACATCCCTTTTCCACAGACAAGGAATGTCCTATTTCTCCCTGTATTTCAAATTTACTTGTGTGTTTATTTATTTTTGAAACATTTCTATGGTGCCTTTCAGTTTTGTGCTTGCAAAAGCAGCTTACGAGAATTTAAAATTAGTTAAAAGATGCAGAGAAACACATATCAAGAATGCAAAATGGCAGGGATCCTTTCCTACAAATGTTAGCGACCCCTTTGCAGAAAGGGAGCTTACCCACGTACACAATTGACATAAATTGGTGAGGAATGTATTCTGTCCTCATGATACTAAGGAATCCTTGCAGCAGAAGGAAACACAGAAGCATAAAAGGTCGGTCTTCGACAGTTTTATAGGATAAAAAGAAGCTTTCTACTTCTTTGTTTCAGCTTGGAACCTAAAGAGGGCCACAGAACTGGACTTGGACTCGGAGGATACATGACTCTGAGCTCAATTTTCACACCATAGGGAGCCTAGGATTATCTGCTGTTGAAATGTGGCAGCAAGGAACAGAGATTTTCCTTGAAGGGCATTTGCTGTCCCCAGAGGATCATCTCAGTGACAACTGCTGATAGGTTATAAAGACTGGCCTCCTCTTTTTTTTTTTTTTTAAAAAAATGTTTTTATTATTTTCTTCCTTAAACAATATTTTCAACAATGCAATAACAAACAAAAAACTTTCTGCTCTGTTGAGCATGCGACTTCCCTCCTTCCCTTCAGCAGGTTTTCTACTTTCAAGTCCTGTCTCAAATTTTAGTTCTTTCACTTCTATTATCCACATTGTAGGATTTATTTCAATCCTGCTAGCGTCTTCAGATTTTTGCAATTATGATTCAAATATACAATAAATTTACTCCAGTCCCTTTGAAATTTTTGGTCGTCCTGGTCCCGAATCCTGCAGGTCAGTCTGGCCAATTCCGCAAAGTCCATCATAGAATCATAGAATCATAGAGTTGGAAGAGACCACAAGGGCCATCGAGTCCAACCCCCTGCCAAGCAGGAAACACCATCAGAGCACTCCTGACATATGGTTGTCAAGCCTCTGCTTAAAGACCTCCAAAGAAGGAGACTCCACCACACTCCTTGGCAGCAAATTCCACTGTCAAACAGCTCTTACTGTCAGGAAGTTCTTCCTAATGTTTAGGTGGAATCTTCTTTCTTGTAGTTTGGATCCATTGCTCCGTGTCCGCTTCTCTGGAGCAGCAGAAAACAACCTTTCTCCCTCCTCTATGTGACATCCTTTTATATATTTGAACATGGCTATCATATCACCCCTTAACCTCCTCTTCTCCAGGCTAAACATGCTCCCTTAGCCGTTCCTCATAAGGCATCGTTTCCAGGCCTTTGACCATTTTGGTTGCCCTCCTCTGGACACGTTCCAGTTTGTCAGTGTCCTTCTTGAACTGTGGTGCCCAGAACTGGACACAGTACTCCAGGTGAGGTCTGACCAGAGCAGAATACAGTGGCACTATTACTTCCCTTGATCTAGATGCTATACTCCTATTGATGCAGCCCAGAATTGCATTGGCTTTTTTAGCTGCCGCGTCACACTGTTGGCTCATGTCAAGTTTGTGGTCAACCATCTTCGCTTGCCACTCTGCAATTATAGGTACTTCCTGTAACTTCCACTTTGGGGCCATTAAAGTTCTCGCTGCTGCTGTGGCGTCCATAAATAGTCTTTGATCTATGTTCGCAATTTCCTCTCCCATCAAACCTAGCAGAAATGCTTCCGGTTTTTTGAGAAAGGTATATCTAAACATCTTTTTTTAGTTCATTATAGATCAATTCCCAAAATCTTTTTACTTTATCACATGTCCACCACATATGATAAAAATCTCCGTCTGATTCTTTGCATTTCGAAGACTGACCTCCTCAGAGTGAATTACTCGCAAATCCTTTCAAGAAGTGAAAGGGACTTGCAACACATGCCCATTATCTGTATGCTTTTAATTACTTCTTTTATTTTTTCTCAAAACAAAACCTCATGTCACCAGCAATGAATATCTTCAGGAAAATTTACGTTAGATGAAGATTTTGCACATGTAGTTCAAATTCTAAAACAATTCACCATTAACTTGGCAGTCATTACAGTGCCAGGTGTGTTCATGGCCAAAATCAAAAGAATGAGTTAGAAAGGTTGAAAGCTCTAGAGAGCTTTGAAACCTAACATCCTGGCTCAATTCAAATCTCTTTTATCAAAGTTGCATGTGTAGCTCTATGTGTTAGATTGATGGGTTTTGAAATTGTATGGATATCATTTCAATTGTACACTTGTTTCCTGTGGATAAATGATCTATCACCTTAAGACATATTATTTTCTGGGTTGATGAGATTTGTGACTTTTGGGCAACAGTATCAACAAACTTTTGAGATTCCATCTGAAAAGGTCAATTCTCAAATGTATGTAACATCGTCATGCAAATCAAGATATGCAAAAGCCTCATGCAAAGAACATGAGGAAACTTTAGGGACACTGAACCAAGTGAAATTAATTGAAAAACATATACATTCTGTTTGAGAATAAATACCAAGGTTAGGTGATACTACAGTTCATAATGAAGAAAACAAAGACACAAAACACATAAAGGAGGATTGTACAACGTGAGTACAAGTTCAATGATCCACCAGAATGTGCATGATTGGAGACATTAATATCTTCCGGATTCACTAGAAGCAGTGAGAGTTTGAAAACTGACTTTAATGAAAGAAAGATTGCACATGTAATTTGTGGACTAAGATTGATTTTCATTTCAGTTTTGATCAGTGCTTTTTTTCTAGAAAAAGAGGTGGGGGTACTCACCATGAGGTTCTTACACTTTTAACACATCCTCCAAATAAATGCAGTCACAGCTCTGACAGGAAAACATGGAAAAAGCAGCCAGCCGTAGAACCATAGAATTTTAGAGGGACCCTGGTTCTGATCATTATTTTTATCTAGCACGGCAGGTTTTCCTTTACATTTGGAACATATATGCAGCAGAGCATTCTGCAATGTGATGTGAACCTTTATTGCTCAATTTGATGAACAGCTACTTGTATGCCACACATTATGGAGTATTCTATACACCCTGAATTTACTGCTATTTGTTCTTTCGATATTCCACATTTACTCAAATGTGCTCAGCACAACAGATGGTTTTATAGTCAACTATACCCAGAACTATATTGATCATGTATGATCTCCACATGCTTCTTGGGACTGCTCCATTATGAAAGCAGCTCTTCTGCTACTAAACAAACAACTATATAGAAATCTGAGGGAACTTCATAAAGACTTCTGGTACTGTGTGTGGGGAAAAATTAGTTTGGGTGGATGGAGTATGTGTGTGTGTGTGTGTGAGAGAGAGAGAGAGAGAGAGAGAGAAGAGAAATCCCTTTTGCACTCAAATGTGTATTCTAAAGGATCCTGGACAACAACATACTGCCATATTTCCTTTCCATTTTCTTAGCATATTTCTCTTAACCAAATAATACTGCTCTAGACATGTGATATAATGGGAATATGTATCATCATTATTATTTTTTACATTGGGCTATATAAAATTTGGAAAAAATCATTGCAAGTCTTCACAGAAGATTTCTGGACAAGCTCTGATGCCAATAATATAAATTTTCTTCAAGCATATAATGCCTAACAGCAGCTTAGGGCTGAGCACCTTTCTGAGCACCTACCCATATTTTGATTTGATACTACCCAAAGCAACACTTAGAATCTAGTTTTCATCTGACCTTCTCAGTTGTCACAGAGAGATTCTACACTTATTTTTGCTTCGTCTTGCTATTTTTCCTCCATAGCCTTTCTAGATTATTCTGTCACATAGCATCCCTTTAATCTGGCCCTTCTGCTGAGGATAGCCTTCCTAGTTCCACCCACTTGCTAAGTATAGAACCAACCACAGAGGTCCTCAAAAGCATGATTTTTTGGGTGGACTTTTTGTTTGTTAAAGTACTAAACAGATACACAGAAATGCATCGAGAAAGTGATGCTATAGTTTTATGCAGATTTCTGCAAGATCTAGAAACCCACCCCCTCTCTATTCAGTTTGTCTGCCCTTTCAAACTTGTAGGCTGAGAATATTCATCCTTACCTCTATGGCTTCTATTTCAGGTTTAGCTTCTATTTTCTGCCAGTATTAATACTTCTTTCCTAGATGTCTATTTGAGAAGTTAGTTATTGCAGAAGTGGGAGGATGAGCTATGAAAAGGTGTGAAACATGTAGATCCTACCTGTGGTTTTGAGATAAATGCACAATCCATGTTTTTCTAAGTATGTAGCCAAATCTACCTTGTAGATCCAATCTCTCATCTTTTTTTATTTACTTAATTTCTTTTCACAGCCACTCAAAGTGACTTTCAATAAACAATGCAGCATAATGCAAACAAGACTCTTCCACTGTAGATTGATAGCTGAAGACTCTTCATATTCTTCTGTTGGTTCTCCACACATCCTCTTAAAGCATCTTCTTTCATTGGCTTTGCTTCTAGCTTCATTTGATTTTGTTTGAATGCCTCCAGATCATGAAAATCCAGTTTTGCCACTGTCATCAGAATTCCCCATGATTTATTAGGAATCTCAAAGGACACAAGAAGCTCCTTTGATATTACAAAATGCTCTTGGACAATTGTTTGAGATGGATGAAATACATTTTATTCAAACGGTCATCTAGTGACCAGTATTTGGAGACATTCATTGATGGGGTATAGGGCTTTTAAGAGTTCTACGGGCCAGCTAGAAGGTTGGGTAGAATCAGGACAGTGTTTTAAATTTCTGGCAGGCATCTCCCAGCCTGAGAGCTAACAGTTAAGTAGGGATGGAGGAGAAATCATAGAATCATAGAATCATAGAATCATAGAGTTGGAAGAGACCACAAGGGCCATCGAGTCCAACCCCCTGCCAAGCAGGAAACACCATCAGAGCACTCCTGACATATGGTTGTCAAGCCTCTGCTTAAAGACCTCCAAAGAAGGAGACTCCACCACACTCCTTGGCAGCAAATTCCACTGTCAAACAGCTCTTACTGTCAGGAAGTTCTTCCTAATGTTTAGGTGGAATCTTCTTTCTTGTAGTTTGGATCCATTGCTCCGTGTCCGCTTCTCTGGAGCAGCAGAAAACAACCTTTCTCCCTCCTCTATGTGACATCCTTTGGGGCCATTAAAGTTCTCGCTGCTGCTGTGGCGTCCATAAATAGTCTTTCTAGGTGCTCACAGACTGTTTGCTTAATGATCTGCTCCAGAATCTTCCCTGGTATTGATGTCAGACTGACTGGGCGGTAATTATTTGGGTCCTCTCTTTTCCCATTTTTGAAAATAGGGACAACATTTGCCCTCCTCCAGTCTGCCGGGACTTCGCCTGTTCTCCAGGAATTCTCAAAGATGACTGCCAGTGGTTCTGAGATCACATCTGCCAGTTCTTTTAATACTCTTGGATGCAGTTCATCTGGCCCTGGAGACTTGAATACATCTAAACTAGCCAAGTATTCTTGTACTATCTCCTTAGTTATTCTGGGCTGTGTTTCCTTTGCTGAATCATTTGCTCCAAATTCTTCAGGTCGGGCATTGTTTTCTTTATCGGAGAAGACTGAGGCAAAGAAGGCATTGAGGAGTTCAGCCCTTTCTGTGTCCCCTGTTTGCATTTCACCATCTTCTCCTCTGAGTGACCCCACTGTTTCTTTGTTCTTCCTTTTGCTACGGACATACCCATAAAAGCCTTGTTTGTTGCTTTTAACCTCTCTAGCAAGCCTGAGTTCATTCTGTGCTTTAGCTTTTCTGACTTTGTGTCTACACGTGCTGGCTATTTGTTTGAATTCCTCTTGGTGGTTTCCCCTTTTCCATTTTTGTACACATCCTTTTTAATCTTAACTCAGTTAAAAGTTCTTTAGATAGCCACCCTGGCTTCTTTAGGCACCTTCCATGTTTCCGTCTCATTGGTATTGCCTGATGTTGTGCTTTTAGTATCTCCCTCTTAACAAACTCCCAGCCATCATGAACTCCCTTTCCTTTTAGTATTACTGTCCATTGGATCTCACCCAACACTTCCGTAAGTTTTATGAAGTCGGCTTTCTTAAAGTCAAGAAATTGAGTCCTAGTATGCTTGGCTGCTCCTTTCCGCTGTATAGTAAACTTCAGAAGAGCATGATCACTCGCGCCTAATGATCCTTCCACTTCTACCCCACTAACCAGGTCATCAACATTGGTTAGGACCAGATCTAAAATGGCTGTTCCTCTTGTTGCTTCTCCCACTTTCTGGACAATGAAGTTGTCTGCAAGGCCAGTGAGGAATCTGTTTGACCTTATGCTCTTGGCTGAGTTTGACATCCAACAAATATCCGGGTAATTGAAGTCCCCCATTACTACTATCTCCCTTCCTTTTGCATGCTTGGCCATCTGTTCCAGGAAGGCATCATCTATGTCCTCCATTTGGCTTGGGGATCTATAGTAAACTCCCACAATGAGGTCACTGTTATTCTTCTCTCCCTTAATTTTGACCCAAATGCTCTCACTTTGGCTTTGAGGTTCTAAATCTTGGATCTCTTCACAGGTATACACATCCCTGACATATAACGCCACTCCTCCTCCTTTCTTGTCTGGTCTGTTTCTCTGAAATAGATTGTATCCCCCCATTATTACATTCCAATCGTGGGACTTATCCCACCAGGTTTCAGTGATGCCTATTATGTCATATTTAGTTTGCTGTACCAAGAGCTCAAGCTCATCTTGTTTATTTCCCATCGGGTTTGTATTTTAATGAGAATTTACCCAATTTGCACTTCTCAAATCAATACAAAAACCGAAATACAACTTGCCTTTGAATTTTGTACTTCTGTGAATTTTGTAATTCAATTCTCCAATCAACACATGCATACAAAACATGTCTCTTAGTGGAAAGAGCATGCAAAAATGCATAAATGAGTGAAAACAATGTGCAAAAATGCATTCTCCTATGGAAAAACTGCTTGTCAAAATGCATACATTAGGCAAAAGGTGCATATATTTAGAGGAATGTTCACAAATATGTGTACAAATTTTCACAAGGAAAAATGAATGTGAAAATGGGCTGAACTGAACTTAGGACTAGAAAAATGAGAAACTGAGATAAAGCAAAATCAAGAGATTTGCTCATCCCTACTTGAAATATTTGCTGGTTGGAAAGAGAGAAGATTTAGGGTACCTGTTGAAGTCTTATTAGGTGGACAGAGCCAGGTTCATATTCTCCCACTTTCCAGCCATTAAGCTTTGGCAATTCAGATAGTGTTCAATGATGGTTGATGTTGGTGATGAGGACAGTTGTTGAAACCTGTGGAATGTGATGTGGGAATGTCAATTGTAATTGTTTTACAGAAACTAGTCAAAATGAACTTTGTCACAAAGAGCATGTAAAGTAGAGACATAAGGATCTAAGGAAATAAAACTTTTCCATTTCATTTCAGTCATCGCTCAATATTCCATAGTTCTGATATCCACAATACAGAAATTTCATACTATAAGTGTGTGCTGATGGATTATAACAAGTGAGTCTGAGAGCCTAGAAAGCAATAGTAATGGGCCTTAAAACTATCAGATTCCCTTTGGGAGGAGGAGCTGTAAAACTATTTGGTTACATAACTTTGCAGCATTTACTTAAAGTCTGCTTGCTGTTTAGTCTCTTGTGTCAGTGTGTAATAGTATACCATCTATGAAAAATTTGCCTCATATGTTACATCATACTTGGAATAAGGGTTACATCTTCCTTTCTCTGATGATCTAATGTAGGACTGGTCTCCTGAAATGTTACCGTGAAATTGTTGTTGAAAAATGATTTGCCTGGGATATTTCAACAATACTTTTTATTGTCATTATTATTTCCCTTTTTTCTACAACTTCTTAAGGAGCATCTACACAGAATTCCAATGCCGTGGAGCCAGAAAAGCAGGTTGACAACACTGTGAAAATGGCAGGAGTTATAGCTGGCCTTCTGATGTTTGTAATTATCCTTCTGGGAGCAATGCTTACCATCAAGAGAAGGTAAGTTTCTAAGATCTCTAATTTGCTTTGCTTTGGGAATGGTTAATACCTTTTGTTTTAAATTTTTGTACCTTGTTTGAGCATATTTTATGCTCATTTGGGGGAGCAGAGGCATAGATAGGTTAGGGCTGTTGTTTTACTTAAATGGAGTTTTAGATACATGCCTGAAAAGCTAATCTGCCCTTCATGTGCTCACTGAATATGTGGGAATCACTTCTCTGTGGTTGTATCCCACTGGCTGTGATGCGTGGTGTTTCTATTTCTTGTGTGTACAATTTGATGAGGGCAATGATTTGGGTCTTTCCTGTCTCCATTGACATCTTTCTTTCTGGCATGGTAAGTGTGTGAAGAAGATAGAACATTTTGGATTTTCATTTTCCAATATGAATGTACAAACATATAAGCATAACAAGAATACAATTGGAAGTCCTGAGTTCTAGACCCAATTCTATCACTCGGCATATCTACACTGCAGACTTATATTGGTGATGTAGTCTATTCCCTATTCCCAGCAAATTCTGGGAATTGTACTGAAGGCAGCAAGTGTGTGTGTGTGTGCGCGCGCGTGTGTGTGTGTGCTTTCTACCAGAGTGCTCAACACTTCACCAAACTGCAATTCCCAGAATTCTTTAGTGGAGCTATTAATAAAACCAATATAAGTTTGTAGTTTAGATAGGGCCATCTTGTACTATCTGAGCAAGTCATTTCACTTAGCTATAAAAAGGAAACAGTGCCTCATGGAGGTGCTGAGGAACCTAATTAGCAAGCACTTCCACTCTCTCAGATGATAAGTAGCATTTCTGTAAGGGTAGAAACAATGTTATTAAAGCTGAATTTCTTCTGTTTTCATACTGGAATAGTAAATTATGAGGACACGGTCTGCAAACTTTATTTTCTGATTGTGTAAGTGTTGTGTATAAGTGTATTTAGAGAAGACAAAATATGCAAAAAATGAATGTGTATGGCGTTTCCCATCTGACTTCAATATTACAAGCTGTGAAATGTGTGGGATGCTTCAAAAAACTGCCTTTCTATTCTTTTTTGAAGGAGCGGTGCAGTAGACCCAAGGTGATTATTAACCTTCTAAGTGTGGCTTGACTGTGCATGCTCACTGACAGCCATTTCCTCTGGACCGTCCATTCAGATGGACAAAGTTATTAAAAACTTGCCTGGGGAAGAGAGGTTGTCTGAGGATTTGTTTCAACCCATATATGATCTCACCACTTTCTGAAGTCGTTGCTGGCATGTGTTGGGAACAAAGTTATCAAGCAGTTCCATCTTTTTTGCATCTGTATATGCTTTCTATGTGAACCACTGGCTATCACACTTTGAACCAGCATGGCATGTCAGCTGAGTTTCCTTGCTGTCATTTTATGATCACCACACCTATCACGTACTGTGAAGTAGTGATTCCGTTGAGCTGGTATTTTAAAAGAATGGGGGCGGGGTTGTCCTTGCTTAACACATGTCATTTTTTTGACATTATACTCATATTTCCCAAAGCACAAAGGAAGCCCATAGTTTGCTACATCCCAGCAATGCGATGGTAACGTGAGTTTGCACATGCAAGTAGCTGAGTTTCCCATCTTTAGTCACACTATTTGGAGTGTTGTTGTTTTAATTGTAGGAATATGACTGCTTGATAATGATTGTAGCTATATTTGTGTTGTCACTGTGCCGTAAAAGCTGTCCTGGGGCAAACATTATGGCAGGTGTAGCCAATGAGGTACCACCCCCCAAATGTTGTCAGACTACAATTCCTACAACCCCTGAGCATTGGCTGATGGGAGATGTAGTTTAACAATGTCTGGAGGGCATCATGTTGGCTACTTATGTGTTATTGTCTCAGGAAAACCATTTCTACAACTTGTTCAATACACTTGTTCCCATTTTCTGTACGCTCATTTCTGAAGAGCTGCATCTTCAGAGTTGCAAAAGCAATCACTCCACTGAGAACCATGAATAAAAGAAATGCTGATGCACTAAAGTTGACCTCAGCTTCCATTTGCTTCAGTAAACGTTGAAGATGCTTAGAAACTCTTAAGATAATATCTGCAAATACGACTTTGTACATTAGGATTAAGACATTCTTCTGTATCCTGCATTCATTTTCTTGTATTCATGTTTAAAATTCAGCCTCGTGTGTTCTGAATCCCTTATACTCTTCTGCCTCTTTAGCAGCTTTTATAATCCATGAGAGGGAAAAATAATAATCCCCTTTATTGTGAAAAGAAAATTTAACAAGAGTCCTGTGTGCTTGTCAGGTTACCAGAGCTTTTGAAATCTGATAACGTCTTCCTGTGCTCTTGTTTATTGTCTCAAATTTGTCGTCATTCATGTGAAGGAAAATACCATTTCCCCCCTTTTGATAGGATTCTGGGAGTTTGTACTTTTCATATCTGGAATTTCCAAACCTTAATAGAATGTAAAGAGGCTGGAACAAAATTACAAATAACAAAGAGATTATATTTTTCTGCTACTTCTATTTTACATTTTTAGTACAAATTTGGCAAGTATACTAAGCTAATAACAGTACAATGCTGGTTAATATTAATTCAAAAATTGGGGAGATCAATTAATTCCCTCTGATTTTAATAGTTTTAATGAGTGGCAAAGCATCACAAACCATGCTTTATCCAAATAACATTTCATATTGATTTGTTATAACTTACCTTTTTTGTTTTTTGTTTTCCTCTAAACTCCTAGAGGCATCATATGTGTGTTAAATTGCCTTCTGCTATAATCCTTAACAGCATTCACTATTACCATTGACAAATGTATGTAAAAGATCTGTACTAGGGTATGGGTTTTAAATGGATGCAGGTTCCCTTTATTTCAGTGGAATTTGTTTCTATGTAAGATTATTTATGATCAGTAGTAAGGTTAAACTGCAAGTTCAAGTGCAGAATTTAAAGTGGCTAATGGACTTGGTTTCATTTTCTGCTGAGTTTTCCAATATACGGTATCTTATGTCCACAGAAACTCCACTGAGAGTCTTGTTTTAAGAACTGCAAGCGCACATTGCTCATTGGAATGTTCTCCTGGACGCGAACCCAAATGTAGATGTTCTCCATTCATTTATAAATATGGCTGCTGCCCACTGCTTCAATACAATGTACATTTAAATGTACATTTCCCTATAGCATATCCCATTCATAAACACCTGCACAAGAGTTAACACATCTAGCTACTTCCCAACCCCTGATAAAAATTCAATCAGATAAAAACTGAATGGCGTAAAAGTGCGCATCTGCTGAACTTCTGCATCCACAATGGAAGTTTACATTTCTCAATTACTTTACAGCATTCCTTGCCTTAGCATATATTTGTCACCAACAGATCACTCTAACACAAGCTGTAAGGTGCTTTGTTACTAATATCAAGTTGTGATATGCTTATAACTACTGCAAATAAAGGCATTGTTGTTTGATTTACAGAGGTCAGTTAGAGTATTTGGTTACCAAATTTTACTACAGTGTGTTGCATAATAATTTCCATAAACTAAAGTGGTCTCCTAGATGAAGACTTTGAAGCATCCTAGACATTTTTAAACATTGGACAGGACATGAAGTCCATTTGTTAATTCACCCTGTGCTTCTAAATTACCATGTACTGTTCCACATTTCTCAGTAATGATATTCATGCCTCCAAAGCTGATTTCGAAAGTTGATGAGTGGCAGTGTTATAGCGCGTCCCATTATTTCCAGCTATACAGAAGATGTAAATCCATTGTTGAGCTAGGTTATCAAGCAGAGTTAAAAACCCAGTGATTCCACAGCTAAACGAAGATTTGAAATCTGGCCACCAAGTCAGCCATCAGCATTCCAAATTGTTCTGCACTCACCCTCATTCTGAATGTTTGACTCAACTGAAAATGGGGAAAGCTAACTTTCTTTCACAACTACCAAATCAACATGATTTTCAGAATTCCAGAAATCTTCCTTTAACTTGTAAACCAAAGGCACTTAATTGATACTGTGCAAAACCAGTCTCAGAAAATTCAGAAGCAAGCTTTAGAAAGTAAAGGCTGTTGTACCAGAAAGTCTGGTCCAGCCTAGACTTTTAAAGCAGACTGTACTCATACCATCTTATTGTTATACAAACAAATTTGTGAGAAGCCCCAGGGACGGAAAGGAAATTTTTGGCATTTGGTTGGGGGTTTTTTTTGCCTTTCCCTCAGTGAAATTATAGCTTTCTTTTGTTAGGCGGAAGAACATTGTTTGTATGAGGGTGGAAATGGCATTGGTCAGGATCAACATAGTATGGGGGGGCATAAGGGGGCCTATGGGAGGATTGACCATGGCAGACCCAAATAGGAGTTTGGTATCTGCCTGGTTGGAATCTGTAGCCTGGTCCTCCAGTGAGACCTTGCTTGCTTGGCTTGCACCACGACAAGGTTCAACACTGGCTGACTCCCATCATACAGGTTCAGAGCAATCCAAACCCAGCAGATCCATTCCATCGACATGGGGCTTTTGGAATGATGAACTCATCCTGACACCCAATGTCATGACAACCCTTGCCCTGCCTGTTAATAAATATTTAGCCTGATTTTATCCCATCACCGTTGTACAGTCTGCTTATTTTGCTGCTCTCATGGGTCACATAATACTCCTGCCTGAGCAACATCAACTATATATTTTGGAAGGTTAACTGTTTGTCTGTTCGCTGTACATTTGAATACCTCTTGAGATATCATAACCAGATTTTGCATGAAGATATCAAGGAGCAGGATTTAATTTATCTTTGGATACAGTTGGTTGCCATTTTGAATCATGATTGTGAAACGAACCCTTCGGAACTGTGCTGATTTTAGCCACTGATTTCAAAACTGCACTATTTTTTAATTATTATTATTTCTCAGAATCCCAAGCAACATTGGATATAGTATATTATAAACTTTAAGAAAACTATGGTAGGGCTTCTCAGCATGAATGAACCAAAGTGCTTTAATCTAGTTCAGTTGCTTCCAGTCTGTACAATATAGATCAGTCTTTCCC